CGAGTAATTTAAGACTGTTGAGCTTACTTCCATTTCGAGTGAAAGTGTTGGGTGAAGATATTCGAAGTTCGGTTCTGGATGATTCATGCTGACGCTGTTTCCGAGGCAATCTCTTTGGATTCCGGTGAAAAGGTGCTAAGCTTTCGTCCGTCATATGACGAGGTAACATCGTCACAACAAAATTCGCTCTGATGATGTCCGTCATATGACGGACGAAATCTTAGCACCTTTTCACCGGAATCGAAGGCGATTGCCTCGGAAACAGCGTCAGCATGAATCTTCCAGTAAAGCCAATCGACAGCTGGTCAAGAGGAATCCACCGTCGTCTTCTTGTGGAACCGACCTTCGAATCTCTTCACCCAACATTTTCACTCGAAATGGGAGTAAGCTCAAAAAAATGAAGCAAGAGATTCCTCGCAACCCAACTTTTCTTCGCATAAATTAAGACTTCCACGGCCATTTTGGCTGCTTAAGCGTGATCAGCATCAGGTTCAAACAACATTTTTTTCAGCTTATCCACTTAACCCTATTTCAAGCATGGATATTTTTTCTATTTTTTGCCCATTCACGTCTTACGATGTATTGCAATTAACACGATGTCGACTTATTTTCTCTAACTGTATCGAAGCCATTATTATATCGAATTACCGTCCTCTAATTGGTTTCATCAACACAATCACTTAGTCAATGTGGAGTCGAACTACAGCTAATTAGCAAAATATTAGCTGGACAAAAGTAACTTTCCCGTAAATTGTATTCAGCCCCGTTTCGACAAGTCCACGAGAACTCATGTCAGAGATAGCAGCTCTCAAAACTGAGAGATCCTTCGGCTTTCAGCCCTTTATTTATACTCCTAAATCAGCACCCTTTTGTCTGGCCTGATCCGACCTGGCAAGACCAAGTTTATCTTCCGTGCTGACATGGCGCGAATAGATTACCTGCCGGCTGTTGAGACAATAACTTCAAGTCTGCTGGTCCCCTTTCTCCTCGTTCAGCCTCTCGATGCCGAATCCGGATGGGCTTCATAAATTCCCATCCACCCGCCACCTTGCGGACATAATAAAGCCACGTTGGCCCATTTACAAGCGGTTTGAGCCCAGGGACTGGTAGACGTACCCTCGTTGATAGAAACGGCATAAAGGCACACGCATATTTTTTGTTTATATAGTCTAGCAGGCCTGACAAAGAAGATGGGCGAAATAGATGAGGCAGCAAAAATGGATAATGGGTGCATACCATGTGATTAATTTCAGTCGAGTCAGTAGGCATTCGTGCATCTCAAAAAAGTCTGTTCAAGCCCGCCAGTAAGATATTTCCATCAGCTTCCTAAATGGCCAGTCTGTGTGCTTCCGCCCGCCCATCCTGTTCTACATGTACCAGTTGTTCCAGGGGAAGATGAACAATGCGACACTGTGAATCTCTCGTCCGTCTGTCCGTCTGTCCGTCTGTCCGTTTGTCCTCCTGAGATGGTCATTCTCGTCTCTTCGTTATGCCTCGACTCGGTCACCATTCGACCGGCCACTGCTGCCCAATTAAGAATACTCGTGCTGATCTGGAACGGACTTGGTACCTGTCTTGGTGTCTTATCTATCCCACAGTGAAAGAGGACCCTTCTGTTTGGGTAACTAGGCGTCCGGTTGATCAGGTGCCTGGGTGTTTGTTTGCAAAGATCTCCATCAAATTGGCTGGCAACATTTGTGTCCTGATGTTTGTGCTTCTGTCCGGAGGTCCGGTTGTCAAGTTGATTGTGTCTATCTGTCCGTGTGTTTACTATTGTCTGGTTTATTGTGTGCATGTGTATTCATGTCTAGGTGCTCGGGTGCTCGGGCGAATGTGTATCTATCGTTTTG